TTAAGAGTTGGGGGTTGAGCAATACACACTAACACCCCCCCACCCCCGTGTGATAAACATGCAACCACGGGCTTTGATGCCCAAGTACAAATACTGGTCGCCTGCATTAGTAAGTGTGAGGTACCCAGAGCTTTTATCTGAAACAAACAGAGAGCACCGAATTCTGATGGCTTTGTTTCTTCAAAAAAAAAAAAAAGCCTCCCCTTTACAACTTGATCAAAATGCAGCAACCTTCTGCATCATTCATTTCTGTTGCTGTGATCAAATACCCTAACAAACAAGAGTGACTTTAAGAGAAAGGGGGTTCATTCTGAGTTACAGTCGCTGGGGAGGGGCGGCAGAAAGACATGCTGGTGGATCACACTGCACACACAGGAAGCAGAGAGGGAGGACAGGCTATAAAACTCAAAGCTCATCCCCAGTGACACACATCCTCCAGCAAGCCTCTGCCCCCTAAAGATTGCATAACCTTCCCAAGCAGTGCCGCCGGCTGGGGAAAGAGTATCTGGACAGATGCCCAGGGTGGTGGTTCACACCTATGATCCTAGCACTTGGGAGGTGGGAGGCAGAGGGAGCAAAAGTCCAAAGTCATCCTCTGCTGCACAGCAAGTTCATGGAGAGCTGGGCTCAGAAGACTCAAGTGAGATAAACGTGCTAAGAAAACAATGAAAGAAGGAATTCCACGAATTAAGAAAAATCCAGGCTGAACAAAGACATTCTTTTATAGGCTCAGGAAAAAATAATTTTGCGTACAAATCAGAATAGGGGAAATCCCACAAAATGTTATTAGAATAGGAACTAAGCAATATCCCTCCCAACAAGCTAGAAACCCTCCCTGGACAGGCATAGCTGTGGAGTCCACACTCTAAGACATGAAGGAAATCAGAAGACATGAAGAAAAGAAACCAAAAGAGTAGAGGGAAACTCAAAAATTAGGTGTTACAAAAAAGGGGGAACTTCAAAAAATGAATCTTAAAGCACAAAGAACTAAATAGCAATGGTTACAACAGATGATATCATAAGACATCTTAAGAAACGTGGAAAGGAAAAATTAAGCAAACAAAATGAGTCTCCTCAGTGGGGAGACTGAGGCAGGAGGGGAGCAAGTGGGGTTATCCTGTGCTACATGACAGAACTTGTCTGAAAGCATGGAAAGGAGTGTAAGGAAAAGGGAAAGAGGTAAGAAACCTCTACAGCCAAGTTAAAAAAATTTGAAGAGACTCAAAGATACCTACCGTAGGAACTTACAGAAATTGTAGATGTCTGTGAAAGAAAAAATCGAAAGAAAGGAGAAAAAAAAAACACTAAAAACACTTCAAATGAAACTCTTGAAATACCCTCAAAAATGATAAAGAAAAGGAACACATTGCACATTGAGGATCAGGAGCCAAGAACATACAATACTTTAAAGGTCAAGAAAATAGTCCTTCGGTTATGAAAAAAAAAAAAAGCACATGGCTCATAAATGAGAGAAAGTTAAATATTATTAGCGTCTCAACAACAATGCTTTATGAAGAAAGAAAACATATTTAAGGTAACCAAGGGACTAAGCTGAGCGAATGGTTTCTCTCTTGCAGCTCCATTCCTGAGACTGGTTTCCTCCTATAGAGTTGCCTTTGTGCAGCCTCAATATGAGAGCTTTCTTTCTTATCCTGTATCTTGTTTTGCCTCCTGGAGGCCTGCTCTTTTCTGAAGAGGATATGGAGTGTGAGTGGACCTGTCTCTACCAGTTGATGAGGGAGCTACCAAACAGTTAAGACCACGTCAGACTCTCACAAGGCCTGGTAAAGAGGTTCCCCTTAGCTAAGACAACTTGGCCTTCAAGTGAAATAACTGGTGAAGTTGATCAGAACCCATCCAATATAAATTAGCTAATTCAAACCATTTTTTAATCTAACTGGCTAATTTGGAGGAAGATAAAGACCTGGGGACCTAGGGTCTGGTGGGAAAGAATCATGAATGCTTCATCTTTAACCGCTTGACTTTGGGTACAAAGAGTGGGTGGGAGAAAGCATGTCTGAAAATGCGCTGAGAAGCAAACACCTGAGCACTCAAAAGCCTCCTCCAAGCATCTTACTAATGAGCCTGAGGAGACTTCTCACACTGCAGAGAGACAGACAGCAAGCCCACACCAGCCCCACTCTGCCTGGGCAATGGGACTGAGCATGAGGAAGCTTGCTCATGCAGCTGCAGCAATATTGAAAACACCTGCAGGATTCTACAAGGCTATAGGAATCGGGACAGTGGGAGACTGATAGGAAAGCTGTAAGAAAAAGGAAAGAGGAAGCCAGCAGCCCAAACAGCACATGAAGGGCACCAGTGGAAACAAGACTATGGCTTCCTGAAGATGTCTCCAGTAAGGGGCGTTATACTGCTGAACACACACACACATACACGCCAGTAAGCAGTGTGAAGGGAGCGAGGGTGGTTTCCTCAGCAAAACACAAGTTGAGGTTCCTAAAGCGGCACCTGGTGTGGCTACAAAGTTCTAATTCTTAACCTAGGGTGTTTACAAGGATCTCTGTCATATGCTATACTGTAACAAAAACTGCACGCTTAGAGTCGCTTTATCTGCATTTTCTTTCACAGCTTTTAAAGACTGATGCAAGAGAATTATAAAAAGTTAGTACATCTAGCCACTCTGGTCTTTTACAATACTTGGTGGGTTCTTCTCTCTTCCACCCTTCTCCACCCCTTTTCTTCTTCCCTTTCAACCCCTTAACACCAGATATGAGAGAGAGAGAGAAAAAAAAAAAAGGATATAGAGGAAAGGAAAAGGATCCATGAATAAAGCCGGGGGTTGCAAAGGGGGTGACATTAGGACCATCAATCTCCTTAGGGCAAGTTTGATCTTCATCAGCAGGAGATCTAATTCCTTGTTGTTGTCTCTTCTCTGCACATGACTACTTAACAAGCCGTGACCAACAGCAACCAACAACCCACCCTGCATCTCAGGGCCCTGTCATTTATACACCTTCTGAAAAGTACCCAGAATTCCAAATACCACACAATCGCAGAAACCGTCTGAAGCTGGCCAAATCATGCCATCGCTAGAGCACAAGGCAAATCACTGTCAGCCACAGCAAAGCAGTCCCAGATCCCCTGGGACCTGGGATTAAAACAAAAACATGATCTTATGTAATACATATGTGTTTCCTAAAGAATCCAAAATTTAGAATTCTCGCTACACACCCATGTCTTTTTTTCTTGGTAAACTCATGTTTAATAGCTTTATTTAGATGTTATTTAGAGTGAACACGTGAATGTTTCTGGGACTGTTTCCAAGAATCCTTGCTCTCTACTCAATCAACAGTGTTCCTTGAGGGCCTACTGTGTGTCATGAATTTCTCTTCTGTCATGCATGGACTTGTTGTACCTTCTGGCACTTGCTTCCTTTCTTAGCTTGTTCAACGTGTGTCGAAAATTCTTGTGTTTGGCCCTCTGCCGTTGCTGACCCTCCAACTTCGAGTGATGCTTTATTGCATGAACTGGTTTGTGGATTGTGTTTTGAGGAGGAGACCATGAAGGACATCCCCTCAGCACCCAGCGTCACCCTTCCCTGTCTCCGCCCCATCATTACCTGGTGCTGCTTCTGTGAGTACGTGGGCAGCTGCTGCTCCACTTGCTGAGTCTGTGTTTGGATGACTCAGCCACAGCACCACACAGCACATCCGGCCAGCTGAGACGCTTACACAGGGAAGGTTCTCAGCAAAGCCTCAGTGTGCTGGGGCGTTCTTTTAAACAGCGCAAGTTCACAAACAGTAGGGAAGCATCTTACTCTTTTTTTTTTTTTTTTTTTTTTTTTTTTTTTTTTTTTTTTTTTTTTTTTTTTTTACCGAATGAGCCAGTTTCTACATCAAGGGCTTGGCACATTGATTTCTAAGGTTTATCAGTTACTTTATTATTTGATAATTGCATACATGTATAAAACATACGTTCCCATCACACTAATTCTATGAACAGAGAAGAGGAGCCGTAACAAAGCTACAGAATTTCTCTACGGCAGTTTTTAATCCTAATCCAAGAAATAAATAAGTATAGAGGGACAGGTGACAGGAGGACAGAATGGCCACAAACAAGAGACTTTCCTCACCGGATTACATGCATCTGTTATCTATTACTCACCAAACCCAAATAGAGGTGATCCTGCTTTACAGATAGCGGGAGGGGGGGAACAGAGAGGTTGAGTACCTTCTCCAAGGTCACACAGCTAATAAGCGCCGCTAGAAGTCAGCCCTTGTGGTCTCCTCCAGACCGTGTGCCATCAGCCACAGGTTTTCGGAATCTTGACAAGCTACGGAAAGTATCCGAAAGCTGTCCACCTCGTCCAATTAGCATTTTATACAGCTCCTTCTGGCTAAAAGCACGGCTGATCTATGATCAAAAAGCATCCATTCTGTCTCCTTAATAGTTTGTGGCGCTGTGGGCATCTCTCAATCCCCATCGCTGCTGCCTTCATTCACGCCGCCCTCATTTCCCAGCTCAGCCGTTACAGTCACCTCCTAATTGACCTTCCTGCCACTAGCTCTAACTACAGATGAAGATGAGTGATCTAAATAAAAACAGAAAAGGTGCCATGGTAGCCGGAGAGTACATCTACACCAGCCCGAACAATTCCTAGAAACAAGGGCTGGAGAGAAGGGGGGCAGCACCCAGCAAACCTGGGTCCTCACAAATCTAGAGGGAGTCAGAGGCAGTGGCGGTCTGAAGACATTAAATAGATCCTGCCCGAGCACAGACACAGGCTGCCTGGGCCTGACCTCAGAGACCCTGCATGGAAACAGCTCTACACGGTACTTATCTGCGCCCCTCCCTAACTCCTCCAAACCTCCCCGGGGCTTGGGTCTCCTGATCAGAGAAGAGCCAGGCAAGCTCCTGTGCTGGCCTCCTAAGCTGTGCCCCCCGGCAGGCACTGGGCAGGAAGGAGAGTCCTCACATGATTCAGCATAAGTCTCCCTCGCTCCCTTCCTGAACCACACACGGCCAAGAGCACTCTGGAAATGCAGACAAAATGGGGCCCCGGTTGGACAAGAAGGGTCCTGCAGCTCGGGGTCATCTGGGTCTCTGCACACCTGCCTGTCCGTGGTGTCTCCCTGCCCCAGCGCCTGCCGGGGGACACAGGTAGGTGGAAGTGAGTTCAGACACCGCGGCCTCACATCTAGATATGGGCCCAAGAGAGGGGAATGCCTGTGCCCTTCCCCACCCCCAGTCCTGCTGCTTCTGCTCTGCCTCATGGCACCACGGAGGATGGAAAACACTCTTGATCAGCCGGTGTGTTCCCAGGAATGTTCTGCAGTAGTTCAGGGACCGAGGGGTGGACAGGGCTGCGCTTCTTGTTGGAGAAATTATCAGAGCATTCTAATATTCTTCCCGTTTCAAAATGCCATTTACAAACAGGCATGGGGAGGCGCTGTAATAAATTTCTCCCTCTAATTCTCCCCTATCTGCTTACTTCATGAAATAATCTCTTTCAAGGACTATCTAAGGCTTTGCATCAAATTAATACTTCACATTCCTGCCGACTTCTCCATATCCCACCCAAACAGCCCACGTTTTGGCTTTGTGGGCTTGGGGTGTGTGACGCCTGCATCTAGCCATCTTTTCCCTTTTCCTCGGCAGGAAACGGCACGCAATGCGCTGTCTCTCCAGCGTCGGAGTTTCCGGAAGGGTTCTTCACCAAGCAGCAGAGCATGGATGGAGGCGTCGTGATCTACTTCCTCATTATCCTCTACATGCTCATGGCTGTGTCCATCGTCTGTGACAAGTACTTCTTGCCCTCCCTGGAAATCATCAGTGACTGTAAGTTGCTTGGGAGGCTCTCCTGTGGGACCTTCCCGAGGGGCTGTCATCTGCTTAAAACGGTTCCGGGGCAGCTCCGGCCAGTCTCAGCTGGTGGCCGAGCACGGATGTCCATCCCGGGGTCCTGGGTGGTTCATGAGTACATCTTTCAGTTGTTACTATGCACTGCTTGCTTCCGGATGCGTCCTGTCCCTTCCAGGCCTCTGCAGAGAGGCCCTCTGATTTTGCGCCTGGGCCCTTGATATGCTCCTGATACACTGCATGCCTGGTCCTCACTGCTTCCCATTTCAAAACCTTTTTCACTTTTACTCTGAGAGTGGGTGATAAACAGGTGTGGCTGAGGCCCTCCCTCCTTTCTCTCTACTCCGTTACTGGCTTCCTGCCGTTAGGAAAACTGATATTCGTGAGCCAATAAATAAGTAAATCCTAAACTCCATGGAAAGGGATCTCAGCTATCAGATAATAATCAGTTTATATTAAGTGTTAGTAGTTTGTGAAAATGAGATCAGATAGTCAAAGCCTGCTGCACTGTAGATTCCCCAGAACTCTGAGTCCAGGCCGTGGGTGCCGGACTCCTAAGACAAGGGAAGATGAGAGCTATCAGAGCCTGCAGCCTCTCTCAAAGTTCCTTAACTTGCTGAGTATCTTCATGTCACCGCAAAACCAAAGTTAAGGGCTGTGACCCATTACAAGACCACAGAAAACAGCAACATCCTTAAGTCCATCCCACACGCCTACCAAGGATCTTTACTTTTCCCATATATTTCATTGTAGATATTTTCCCATATTGCTAGTCTCTTTAAAACCATGATTTTAATGATAGCCTAAGAGCTCATGATCCTGTGAGTAATTTGAGAAACTAACACTGTATTTTATTTATTATACTGTCCAGAGAAAATTTCATTTTAAGCTATTCATCTCATAGCACTACTTTAAATAGCACTGTGTCCATATAGTATAAATTCTTTGCACACTTCTCTAACTATTTTCTGATTAAAGGACAAGGTCATACATATTTAAGCTTTATGAAAGATATCGTCAAAAATATTCCATAAAGGGTGTGCCAGTTCCAACCTCCATGGTATCAGCAGTGTTCATTTCTGGAAATGAATATCACTTTTAATACCTTTGTTAATTATGTTAAACTAAAACTTCATGCTATAAAATCCAAATTGAAATCATAGCCTTTCTTACTTACTGTTGTGATTTCTTGCCTGCATTTGGTCGGGGGGGACGACTCCTTTTTCTTAATAACCTTTTCAAGACTTTAAAAAGTATGTACAGATAGGAACCCTAATAGAATGTTTCATGGCTGGTCTTTTCCTTATCTATTGTGGGCATTTGTGGTGTTGAAGCTGAAACATCTTAAAGCTAAGTCTTCTTTGGCTTTTGTTTGATTTTATATTTGGAAGGATCTCTTTAAGTGTAGCCTTCAAAAGCCACTGTTTCTTATTGCTTAATTTTCCTTCAATACTTATTCCTCCCAGCCCAAAATCATCTTCACAGAATACATTGTTTTTCAATCTTGATCAGTTCTCAAATACTAAGTACATACACACACCTGCTTCCATAATCCTAAATCTAATAATCTTTTCATTCCTATGTCAGCACTACACACTTAATTAGAAAATGTGAAAAACAGAAAATATAAAGTATTCTGCACATCCCACTAAGAACTGTAAGCTTCACTGACTCGGCTGAGCTGACGGAATGAATCTAGCAAGAATCTTGTTTATAAGAGTTGCCTGTAAGCTGGGGCGCAGTGGTGCATGCCTTTAGTCCCAGCACTGGAGGAGGGCAGAGACAGAGGAGGTGGATCTCTATGGATGTGAGGCCAGCCTGTTCTACAAAGCGGGACTGCCAGGGCTACATGGAGATACCCTGTCTCAGGGAAAAAAAAAAAAAAAAAAAAAAAAGGTTTTGCCTGTAAGAGGTAAAATATGAAAAAGACATGAGTCTGGCAGAAGGCATGGCTCCCTGCATTAGGTGGCAGGCCATGTCCTTCACATATTCCTCTCAAGTGATTTCCTCCTGCTGTCATGATGACTCCCATCATACCGCCTGTGGAACTTCCTTGAAACATCAATGAATGACATGCATTTCTCAAGAAAGCCACTGTTGTCAACATAACATAGGAGATAGAAGGAAGGTGTGATCAATAGATGAGCACATGACGCCAGTCTTCCCCAGCTGTACGATTCGACTCAGCTCTTGAACATTAAAACGACAGCCAATAACATGAGATAGAAATAGTGTTTGTTCAACCCACTTGTTAAAGCCTTATAATCCTTCTTTCAAGACCTGCCATAGTCATATTCGAATGACAGCATCAGCAGTAAGAAACCATCCCCCAGTTGGTTTCCATCGACAGGAACTGGCTTCCAGAGCCTGCATGCCTTTCCTGCACGCTCCTTGATAAGCACAGAGGTTGACAGTTTCACTCAGTTAGTTACAATGAGTAGTGAAATGACCCCCAGAACATCCCGGGATATTCCCCATTCTACTAGAGCAGGAATGCACATCATGCTTGTGTGTGCATGACATCTATAACATACATGCATAACTATGTACATACACATACATACATGGCTTCATCTCCATTTTTAAAAAGCTTACAAAACAGGGATTGAAACATCGGTTTTTGCTGAGGAGGAAAGTGAAGCTGAGACCACCCAGCCAGTACAGAGCAGAATCCTGCTCTCCCTGGTGTTCCACAGCCCAAGCATGTAGTCACCTGTTATCTGCTGTGATTTTACACATCCTCGTGCAAGATTAGTTATCATCATATGGTTGTTTCAGGAGGCCAGTTCTATTTGAACAGTCTTACAAGCAGCAATTTTCTGCCCAAGGGCACTGACAATTTTGACAAAAGCATATGTGAGACATTCACTGTAACTATGAAGTATACTATAAAACTAAGAGTTGTTTACTGAAAGAGGTTTAGACTTTTAGAAACCTACCAAGGCTTATAAATTAAATTCATTAACATTTTCCAAGATGACTAGGCTCTCAGGCTAACATTTTGCCTAAAATGCACATGGGATTACTGTGCAGTACAATGAAATTCAATGGTCCCATATAATTCCTATTGGCTTATGTGCTCTAGCTCAAGCGAGATTAATGGAAGATCTGATGGGCCCTGTCCCAGCACAGCACCATCACCCTACTGCTCTCTCCCACACTCACCACAGTGGCTCCTTGGGTTAGCAGCGGAACCTTCAGCAAGCTGAAAAGTGTAAGGGCCTCAAGACCTACTCCTCATGCGAGGGGAGGGTTAGAAGTGGAAAACAGAGCCTCTCGCTGATAACATGACAGGACCCCAGCTTGGTCAACAGGTGCTCTTGCTCATTCTAACTATAATGTGCTGGCAACCTCTCCCAGAGTAGGGGCCATCAGAGGCTTCCAGCAAAGATTTTCTACTTCTCTTTGCTCTGTGTTCTATCGAGGGTGACAAAAGCCACTCAGCCTCCCTATGCCCTTCAACTCTGGAAAATCGTGCATTTATCTCTACTGGACAGCCAGAGACATTCTGCCATTATCTCAGCTGTGTGAAATCAGTACAGGAAGGTAATATTGGAAATAAGCCTTTCTTCCGATTTTTGTCATCATCCTCCTCTTTCTGACTCGGATCCCAATTCTGTTTCTTCTCCCTTCTGTTTAGGGTGGGGTGCAAGAAGAGTTACAGGAAATTCTCTAAATGCAGAGGTCTAAGGTGAAATTAATCTAAATCTATACCATACCAGGGGAATAGTTCTCCACAACATTTTACCTGGAGAAAAGATCTGACTTCTGTGGTGAGACACAAAGTTTGGACTCTGGAAAGTTGGGTAAAAGATCAGTTCAGCTTAGAGCCAAGGGAACTGACAGATATGAGGTCATAAACCCAGACTCTCCTCACCCCTGCCAGTTGTCCTCACTAGATCCTGACTTGGAGGATGCTGAGGAATGGGTGTGGGTGCAAGGAGCAGAGAAGAGGTAAAGGGTTCTAAATGGCAAGAAGGATGGGGCCTCGGTGGCATCTGGTCACTTCAGTAAGACTGTCTCAAAAAGCTAAGTCAGCGACTGTCACGCTTGGTTTGCGGCATCGCCTACATTCCAGTTGCTGTGTCTTACTCGCTCGGGGCTCTTTCATCCTGTGCCTTTTCCTCCTGTATGCTCATGTGCTTAATGAAAGGTCTATGACATTGCTGAGCATAGAGGAGGGCTGGAGTCATGGGACACATGAACGCATGCTGGGTGGCATAATTGTTAGAAGAAAATCCAAAGTGTCTGGTCTAGAGGCAGACAAATCTGGGTCCAGCTCCCAACTCTGCAAGCTGCTAACTCTTGGGCAAGTGCTGAACATTTGTCTGTCTCGGGTGTGTCAGCTATGAAATAGATTACTATAGTTTAGTTCCAAGAACTCTGTTCTGTGTACGTGAGAAAACATCAGAAAATTGCACACGGGAAACAGCCACTGAACGTTCACTATTACAGATTATACTGAGAAAGCTATTAAGACTCCTTTCCCAAAAGAAAAAAAGAAAAAAAAGAAAAAAAAAAAAGACTCCTTTCCCCAGGAAAAATCAAAGCGTAGAAGGGAAATAATCAATAAAAATGTGCGTGAAGCAAATACCAAATCTATGGTGCATTATGACAGCTTGAAGCCCGTTTTAGGGTAAAAACAAATCACACAGTCTCATAGGACAAGATGTAAGCTTATAAAACCTTTACCTAATAACCTATGTGGCAACTTTACCCTAATTTTTAGAGTTCCTTTGTGTTCTTTCCTGAATCGTCTTTATTGTACTATTGCATTTTAGTAGTCTTTATTCAAAGAGCTATCTTAATATAAATGTACATGTTTATAGTACACAAACACACAGCCCAGCTAAGAGTCCCTCTTCTGTCTATACACAGAGATGTGATGCACATCTCTACAGGAACAGAATATAGTATAAAAGTAGCATCCTCTTGCTACACCACAGATATCTCAGCTGTACTGAATCACTCTTGAAAAA